TGAGAGGACAACCACGACCACTGGGACGCTGCTGTAGTACAGTACACACAAAGGCGCCCCGCACATAATATTTACTGTGTAAGTTGAGCGTAAAAATCTACTCTGGATAAAAAGCTCCAGTGTCTGAGGTAACCTGACGTTCTGCTACCTGACACCACGATGCCAACAGCCCCGCTGGTCCCAATCCATCTCAGATCCGCCCATCAAAGGTCCATCTGTGGACGTGAGCCACCAGAGAGCAGGCCAGGGGAAATTCCAGCACATTCTGCCACTGATAAGAAATACAGGCCCTTCCTTCTGACCCGAGACAAGTCAGAAACAGGCGGGGGGGAGCACTAACTGCGGTTCCAGGCCGGCAACTGGAGGCAGGGGCCCGGAAGAGGAGGGCCACTCCCTGCATGGTAGCCCCACGTGGGCCATTTGTTTTAGGTGATTTGCTCCAGAGCCGCTTAGCTGTCAGCAGGAAGGTGTGATTTACAGGTTTTGTGGATAGGGGGCGCTGAGCATGAGAAAGCGAGAGCGAACTGAAAACAAGCAATAAGATATACGAGCGTATATACATACATTACTGTTAATCCTGAAGAGATGGAGGTGCCAAAAAAACAGACATAAATCAAGCTGTTAAATAAGAGGGACATAAATAATATTGCACTGCTTGACTGGAATGCAGCACAGGAAAATGAACATTGGGCATGGTGTGTATATAAGGTAATAATAATATATAAGGTTAATTTGCCCCGAGACAGACAACAGTGGGGTTCCTGACGCACATGTGCTGAGCTGTTCAAACAGGTCGCGATACTAATTATCCTGTCAAGGACGGGATTTGAACCTCTGACCTTCCACTCACAGGCACAGAGGTCTAACCCGTTGAGCCATACACCAAGCCCCGTTGATGATGATGACAGACAGTGTTGCTGCGGCCTGGGCTCAGCTCATCTGCAAAAGACACCCCCCCCCCCACTTGCCTGTGCTGCCTGTTTAAGGGCCTGTGCAGTGCAGGTGAGGCACTCTGAACCGTCCACCAGTTGGATCTGCAACGGGACACCTTCAGCTCCTCAGTCCGCAAATACAATCTCACGTGGCGATACTCTCCTCTTTTTTAGAGCAAAGTGCACACTCAGATGGAGGGATTTGGGGTAAGATACCTCCATAATGGGGACAGATGTGCATGTATGAGCTGAACAGATGTTCAGTATCTAATAGGGTCTATGGATTTTCCATTATTTCCCGGGAAAAAAAGAGCTTTCGCACATCAGCCATCAAGTGAGTGGACATTTACGGAGCCATCGGGCGTGATCCGACTGGACAGCCCGCTGGAGTCGGACCTCTCATTATTGTTGTCACATGAAGCTGGTGTGGCCTTTCCAGCAGGAAATCGTACTGGTGACAGGTGCCAGCAGACTGAAGGGTGCGCGTCGGCGCTCTCTGGTGGGAGGAGAGGAGCTTAGCAGGCCCAACCTGCCACCCTGCACCTGGCCACTCTCAGGTACTACTACATCATCAACCTTTATATGGCTGCTCTTTTACTAAGCCAGTGCTGTGAACAGGCCTCCAGGTAGAGCACCATGGGGCGTTAGAAGGGATAAATTAGCACCCCACTGACCATGTTGCTAGCATATGAACACGCAAGCACATATAGATAAGTGCAAACACACCCAGAGCCGCCGTCACAGCAGGCGGCGTGTAATTCACTTTAACGTGTGCCACACGCCAACTTGGGGGATGGACGGCCACAGTCGCGCTGGAAGATCCCTGACACCCCCCTGCAGGGAGAGGGAGCAAAGATGCGGCCAGGATTGACGGCAGGCAGAGGGGGAAAAGGAGGTGATGCCGGATGGTACGAGTGACTAGTATGCCAAGCAGGAGGCGAGAGGGAGGATCGCCCTCATACCAAGGCTGCTCCTCTCCGGGGGAGCACGGGAGTAGAGCTGAGGGCCTGGGTTTACTGTTAAGCGTGGAGGCGGCCGGGGGGGGGCTGCCTTCGAAGAGGGAGGCCTCTGGGGCAAGACAGCCATCCATCCATCCACCCATCCATCCATCACAATGAGCACCGGGAGCTATAAAAAGAGTCTGTTACTTTAACAGTCTTTGGGAGAAGACTCCTTCCTGTCCAGCTGTCCCTGTTTCAGAAGTGGCGGTCCCCTCAGCAGGCCACGAACGCCCATGGTGACAATCCCCCCCACACTGAGGACCCGCAAGCGGGGCTCACTCAGAACATCTGAAGAGTTCCTAACAAGGGCTCAGTTTTCTACGAATACTCTGCGCTCATTTCCGCCTCTCTGTGTCTCTCTCTCTTTTTTTAATGGCCGTGTCTCTCCCAAACAAATAAAGGATGAAAGGCAGAGCTGGTACAAAGGGAGGGGAGGATGATTGATTCGCGTTGAGGCTGTAGCCCGCATCACACTGTGGGAACTGAGATGTATGGCTCCGTCCGGCCCTGAAGAGCAGGGCCCCCCAACCCTGGCGAGCAAGAGCGGCCCACATCGACGGCGGAGCAGGACAGCGCGGCCACAACTGTGCACAGCTGGAAGGCGAGAGGGATTAGCGGGAGCGTGCTGTTAGCGCGGTTCGGCTTAATGTTCTTCACGGAGCGGGCAGAACCCGCGGCTTTCGCACCTCCAATCGGCCACGAGCGTGAGATAAAAAGATCAGGCGAGCTCATGGGACGAGCTGGAAAGCAGTAAACTGGAGTCTCGACTGAATCGAGGCAAAGCAGGATTCTGCTGGGCTTTAGCGATAAGTGAGGGACGGATGGGAATCGTCAGTGCCGGGTCCGAGCGGGAACACACCGTTCTGCCGGCCAATGGAAGGATGACGATCAAGAAGGATGACTGTATTTCATCAGTGACCTTCTTGGAGCAATAATCCCACTGCAGTTAAAGTAAATGGGCTGCTGCAGACTGAAAAAGAAACTCTTGGATGATGAGGTCTTTCCTCGACTCAGCTCTGCGGAGCGGAAACACATAGCAGTCAGGAATCATCTCGTAATGCGCATGTGTACGCGCCGGCTGATGTGCAATTAGCGCCGAAAACGAGGGGAAACCCTGCATTTAAAGGACGCGGCCGGATCCCAGGCGCCAAAACCTATGCGTCTTCGGTGACTTTGGTGTTTTCGTGCCGTTTTAACGAGGGTTCCGGTAATGTCTCGCGCGCCAGGCGTCACAGGGCCTCCGCAAGCGAGGCCCCCCCACATGCCACCCCCTCCCTCCGCTCATCACAAGCCCATGAAAACAGCCGTTACCATCGCAGCGCGACCACCACCGGCCCCCACCCACCCACGGCCCATTCCAGAAACATCCGTGGCCGTATTTTAATCCCCCCACCCCTCGCCCCCCGTCCCTTTTTCGAGAAGTTTTTATTTTTGAGCCGTGTGGTTTTCGCGAGGCTGGTGGTGATACACAGCGCTCCCTGTTCCTGCGTCTCAGACCTCGGGCTTTTATGGACACGCTTGGAGCCGGTTCCGTGCTTTGCCCTATTTTTCTTCCTTCACATTAAGGGAAGGGTTTGACTTTTACGACTGGCCACATGCGGCATTAATTCAAACACATTACACCGAGATAAAAAACTCTCGCCTCCTTCCCAGACGTCCGCCTCTTTACCTTTCCGTCTCAAAGCGATTTCTCCCGGAGAGTAGCAGCAGAACGACACGGGCCCACGGATGAGAGGAGTCTCTGGACGGGGGCCACGCCATCATGGGCCCTAGCCCCGCCTCCACCTCCTTTAATTAATAAAGACACGGAAGGTCCCATCTGCCCGTCCGCCGTGTTCTCTGCTCGCCTTCGGGGGGCAGCACCGAAGCAAGTGATTGACGCTTCCCTCAAAGGGTCAGCAAAACATCAGAGGTCGACATAAAGCAAGAATTATACTGGCCCTTAACACACTTTGAAGGGTAACTAGCAAAGAGTGTGTGACTTTTAAATATTTTCCTTAATGTTTCATAGGTCTTATATAAACCTCATGAGCTTTTATTAAACGGCACTGCCTACGCACGCTGCCACAATTCGGTCGCCAAATCTCAGTTTCCCCCGCCTTCGTTGGTTAATAAATGTATCCTATGGTTCACTGTGCCAGTTGGAGAATATTAACGACACAGTAAAAGCATTTAATGCCTCTACCAAGAGGTCCAAGAGACAGCAGAGGTGTTAGACCCTATGTCAGTCAGGTAGGTAGACGCAGCAACCCAGCCATCCGCTCCCACCCTGAAACGCAACAAGCGGCATCATGTTGGGGGTATAAACAGCTCCACCTAATTTGGCACTGGAAAGTACACAGTACCTGGACCCCGTGGCCTAACCGCAGATAAATCCCCCTCGATTTTAGCTGCTATTTTTAGCCAGCTTTAACTTTAAATCTGCCAGTGCCGCACAGCAGATCTATTCAGGGAAAGCCGGCAGGCCGGCGCCCCCTGCAGGAGCACGCGGGCAGGGAGCCCAAACCGATTGATATTTCGACTGCGGCGGCCTGTAGCTGTAGCTGCCAGCTGGTTTGCAGAGTGAGCGTCTCGGGGGAGAACGGGTACGAAATCAAAGCTTCCTCTGTACCTGGATATTGCTGTTTAATCAAGGCATCGGGAGCGAAAAGCACTAATTACGGACAGAAAGGGCCGGAAAGCAGGGGGCAAAAAAAAACCCTCAATATTACTCCAGCCATTTATAAAAATGATTAGAAAAAGGGTCATTCTCTATAACTAACTCACTCAATTACAATCTAAAAAAGGCACAACTAAATCTCTCAGCGGCACTGTATACTCCGGAACATACCGGGAAAGCAATCTTTCTCAGATTTGTCCCCCGCTGTAGGAAATAAAACAGGAACACAAACAGCGAAGCCTTACCAAGCACCCAAACCCCAAATAATAATTTTTTTATTTTTTTTTTTAAACTAACTAATCGGAGCAACCATTTAGTGCAGGACTGCAGCCAACATTAGGCTAAGTGGCCCAAGGCGGAGAACCTTCCAGAAAGCCAGGAGAGTAGGGTTAGGTGTCGGACTCTTACTTCATCTCCAGCACCTCCTCCAAGTGCTTCCTGCGCTCAGCACGCAGCGTGGTCAGGTGGGCTTCCTTCTCAGCCAGGGACTGCTGGGTGGACGACAGTTTGGCCTTCATGGATTCCAACTCCTGCTTCACCTTCTCCATGGCCGCCAGCAGCTCCTCCATCTGCCCCAAGCACCCACACCCACACACACACACACACACACACACACACACACAAGCCCATCCACCAGGACACCAACGTGAAAGCCGAGAAAGACAGCATGGAGGACACATAGAGAAGGTCAAAGGGAAAGAAAAAGAGAGGGAGTGAGAGAGAGGAGGAATATAACACACAGATAAAAAGGCAAAAGTAGGAAGAGTGGAGAGAAAATATAAGAGTACACAAACACACACAGTCAATGCACAGACAGGCACACGCGTTCACGCACGCACACACACAGGGAGACAGAGAGAGAGGGGAATCGGAGATTAGAGCACTTTAACGGAGCGATGATGAGACCCGCGAGGGGTTCGACAGTGCCCACATGCTGGAGGAAACAAGGGCAGCGCAAGTCATGAGGCAACAAAGGGGATTAAGCACACGGCGCCCCCTTCAGCCCTGGCTGCCCGTCCGTCACCTGCCACAGGACCCTGCGCATCTGCGGCACAGAAAATCATTACACTGTCAACCAAAGAAATATGACAAATAAAACAGAAAGAAAACAAATTATGTTCAACCCAAACACTAATCCAGTCTATTATCAAGTAGTGGCTTGTGCTGTTTTCATATGTAGAATTACTTTCAGAGAGACTGAATAAACTAATGAATGTGGCAGAAAGCTGCACTTGCGATGGCACACGACTGGGGGAGCATATGGGCGGAGCGCTATGGGGATTAGTGCGGGGAGCTAAGGGACGTGACAGGAAGGGTCCCCACTCTGTCGAGCCCATGTCCGGCAGCCCCGATACCTGCCCAAAGCTAAGCGCTTTGGCTAGGAGGGAAGCCATGCAGGCCGTAAGGATGGACGAGGACCACTGCTCCACCAACAACAACTGCTCTCTCTTTCTCTCTCACACACACACACACACACACACACACACACACACACAGTCGTGTAATACCTTTTTGGGGACCGCTCATTCATTTCCTATGGGAAAAATGCTAATGTTAACTATGATAATCTTAACCCCTACCCAGCCCTAACCATAACCATAAGTAACCAAACAAAATACAAGAGTTTTTTTTATTGCAGTCATGGATTTTTATAAAATAGAGTTTTCCCATATGGGGACCAGAAAACTGGGGGGGAAAAAAACAGGTATTCATCACATTGTGGGGGCATTTGGTGTCCACAAGGTAAGGTATACCTGGACCACACACACACACACACACACACACACACACACAGACCAGAATTTGGTACGCTAATGGACTCCTTCTAACACTGAGACAGCTGGGATCAGCTAATATACCGAGGCACCTCAGACAATGCAGGTGAGGCCCAGGTGGGCCGGTGACTCAGGTGACAGAACAGTGAGACTGCTGCCCCCTTTTGGCCGAGCCCCCAACCAGCAGCCTTAAGTGGACCCGGCTCAGACATACTTAAGCTTCTAATATACTTGTGCCAGTTTCCAAGTGAAATGATGCATGCAGGAAACCGCTCGGAGCAAATTTACGGCTGCCTGCTTTCCCGTCTCTCTCTTCATCTTATCAACTCATTTTCTTCCGTCATTTCTGAAGAAGGCCATTACGAAAACATCTTAAAACATCTTAGGGGAAGTTATTTGTCTGGTTTTTGTAAAACTCAGAAACACGCAGTTATTAAAATCGCTTATCTGTGATGTTTGACAGTACTAAAACTTTTTTTTTTTTTTTTTTTAAAACATAATATAATCCAGCAAAAGCCTGCATCCCTCGGACATAAATCTTCACACAACGCGTACACTGCAGCTTCCAAAGGGGGGGAGGGGGAACACACACAGAAAACCAGCCTGGGCGAAGTGTGCAGCCCTGGAAGAGACCTCTAGTTGAGCAGAAAGCAGTCCATTCGCTCCCCAGGACATACTGATTGTCAGACATCGCTAGCCCCCACAGCGAGTGGCTCAGCATGTGTGTCAGCGTTGCCCCAGATACGAAGACGAGAGGATCGGTTCAGCCGTGTCAGCGACGGAGCCGCACTCTTCACACGTTCCCAAGGAACGAGGCCCGGGCTCCGCAGCGCCATCACTGCACTAGGCTGACAGCCCAAGGACAGCCGCGCCAGTGAGGACGAGGAGAAGATCCTGCTATTTCCCCCCGGACCGAACTCGCATAGCGAGCAGTCTGGCCTGACAAAAGCCAGCAAGCATTCCGACGCGGGGCGACCTTGCGAGGTCCCGCTGGCTAACGTGCGGCATTCATATTTCGGCCGACGCACGTTTCGCAAGCTGCCGTCCTCACATACATCAGAGCTACACGCGGTTAAACGGAGGTTATGAAAACAGTACAGAACACTGCCTTTGTAAGCAATGGATGGCATTGAGGGTGGGGGGAACAGATGTGTCGTGCATGTGAAAACCGTGGATGGGGGGGTGGGGTGGGGTGGATGAGTAAAAAAAAATGAAAAATAAAAACCCGAATGGGGGGTCCATCCAAAGGTCACGCACCTACACTACACCCGCGATAAGGAAGTACGGCAACGACAAATCCGAAAGAACGCCCGCGGTCCGCCCCCCTCCCTCGGACTCACCGCTGAGGCGTGGCGTGGCGTGCAGGCCCGTCTCCGGCCCGGAGTCACTCCTGAGCACATAGCTAGTGCTGGTGGCAAATGAGTACCGGTCTGCCGGAGCTGGGGGCCGTGCGGGTGCCGTGGGGAGGGGCTTGGCCATCAGCTTCCCAGCTGGACACTCGTGATGCGCCAAATGGCACCCCGGTACCCTGCCCGGCTCTGATACTAACCTCCACCCCACCCCCACCCCACTCGTCTCCCCCCGCATGACAACCACAGCGCCTTCCTTCAGCGCACTAGAGGAGTCAGTCACCTCTCTGCAAAGCCTTTTCCCGAAAAGCAACTGAGGTGATTCCTGACACATTGACGGGGGGGGGGGGGGGTAGCACCAAGCGAGCTGCATATGCCGGGAGTCCGCAGAGAAATGCAGACTGATAGAGCGTCAGAGAACAAGATGATTAAGGGACGAGAAAAAGAGAACATAATGTAAGCAAGAGCGTGGTCAGGAATAGGGGAGCAGAAACAAAAGCACAGAAAAGCACCAAAAACACAGCAGAGCGTGCAAACACACACCTGCACACAGAAAGGCACTTGGGTGCAATGCGCTTGCATGTGCTCAGACACACACACGGGGTGGGGGGACAGAGGAGGATTAGAGTGCCCTGACTGAGCTCCACGGAGAGACCCGCGAGGGGGGCGCTAATGCCCATATGCTGGAGGAAACAGGGGCAGCGTAAGTCATGAGGCAAGGAAGGGGATTAAACACACGGCGCCCCCTTCAGCCCTGGCTGCCCGACCGTCACCTGCCACAGGAACCGGCTGTCCAAGTTTCAGGCAGCTAAATGGAAAATCATTACCAAAGAAATTTCAGAAATACCTAATAAAGTAAAAAGATAAACAAATACCGTTTAGGCCAAACACGAGCCCAGGCCAGCACACGTGTGTGGTTTTAATATGTATAACCACCTTCAGTGCATCCACACACCTTGAAACGGCTGGGGCGGGGGCTGAGCAAGCTCACACGGCTGAGCAGTGTATTCGGCGGGGGCACACGTGGGGTTAATGCTCCTCGGGCTAATCCAGGTCTCGCTCGAGCGCTAATGCGGCTAACAAGGCGCCCGGGGCCCCGGCTCCTATAACAGGTCCATAAAGCCGCCATTCACATAGGCTCTTGGCTGCACCTCTTAGCGTCTCACATAAGGGCAGCCATACAGTGTGTGTGTGAGGGGGGGGG